CACATACATAGATACATACATAACAGATTACACACTGACATACTCACTAGGTGCAAAAAGGAGGACCTGTCCAGACGAAATGGGGGTGGAAAAAAAGCTCGACGCCAAGGCATGATAAAGTCCAGTCTTGGGGTAGAACACCGGCAAAACTATGAACTTGATTATTCATGTGTGTGTCGGTACGCATGGGACCAAGACTTAGACAGTGTGCAAGGGTCGATATACACATTGCATCACTGTTTTTGCGTACCGCCAAAGCATGCATATCGAAATTTAAGATCTATCAGTCATGCTAGCCTCCTTTCCACTTTAAGAGACCTGATTGTAGACGCAGCGTCGACATAACCGCATCCGCCATCTTGGCCACTTGTTCGCGCATTTGTCGTACGCATAGACACTTGGACGACCAACGTGGCCTCACTGCCGCGGTGTTTCAGTCTCACCACATTTCACCCCTTACAACCAATCAGCATTCGACTGGTCGCCTCGTCACGACCACCTAACCCATTCACCATGACTCATTCGGCCTCGAGGCTGGAGCCCGGTTGACCGGCCTTAGCGCAAGTCAGCCTGTCTCGCAGTTTTCCCTTCTCTCTCTCCTTCTCGTGGTCGTGCCGCTATACTCTCAATCGATTGGCGATAAGGGATCTTGGCGACCTTGAGGAAGTTGGATCGGCGCAACCGAGCCGATCCTGCTTGTGTGCCGTTCAGCTCGACTCTGCCCTCAAAGCCTGGGGCTCTGAAATGGCCTGGCCAGACTCCAGGCTGCAATCTCCCCCGGTCGTCGCCACCACAACCCGGCGTCAAGCCGTCCCACTCGTTACCGCCCCAGTCTACAGACGGCACCTCCTGCTCCTCCTCTGTCTTCAACCTTGCTTCCTATCGCCTCCACGTCACCATCTCGCTCTAGCCCTCCTACAGACCTGCCTACATCCCGTTGGTTGTCATGGCGACCGGTGTTGCTTCCCTGTGGTCGGACGCACCGGGCCCCGATGTCATCCCGTGCCCGGGTGTCGCAAGGCCTTTGCGCCCGACTGCTGCCGAAACACGCGACCAGTCATTACGCGCTACGGAGTGATGCACGGCTACGCTCTGCTTTTGGACGATGAGTACACCTACCGAGACAATGGACGTCGTTACCTGCAGGTGGGTGGGGCAACTTGCCGCTTGAGCGCGCACCCCCAGGCCTTTACAGTCTCGTGGTGACGACACCAAAGAAGGCCAGTTTCACTTGGGGTTAGTTTGCACAACTTTGCTTTCTGCTCAAACTGGCATAAGTTAAATATTCGTATTAAAGTAGGGTTTCGAGACTACCAGTAACTCAGTGTAATGAGATGTATTCACCCTA